ACACTAGTCTGTAATACGAATTCTCTTAGCTAAAAAGCGGAATTAACTGATTATGTGGAGCTTCATGTTGCGAGGTCGAATCTTAGACCTTCTGATCTGCCGTTCATAACGCTAATCAGTAGACTTGGCCCGGCCTAGCATTTTCGAACAATACAATTCGTTCGTCTCTGTAAATATCTACACAAGTTACACATGTTTGTTTGTTTTGAAGTTAAGTACAAAGCTACACAATAGGCTATTTGTGCACTGCCCACCACGGGTATCAAAACCCGGTTTCTAGCGTTATAAGTCCGCAGACATACCGCTTTGCCAATGGGGGGCAGTTAATTTTAAATGAAAATATAAGTTAACCTATTTTATAGGTAATAATTTTATTGAACAGATCCACAAATAAATAGAAGAAAAAAATATGTAAACCAAAGCTTTAAAGTAACATCAGTTCAGATTAATTTTACTTCATATTGCAGCTAATGTTGTCCTTCATACAAATTTATAAACGCTTCTGATGATCAATCAATTTAACATTTTTATCAAGCTGTTATATTAGTTGCGCAATACAATTCTGTATAAAACTTCACAGAGAGTATTTGGGTTAAGAGCCCTCTAGTGTACAGTACTCGTACTAAACTTTTAAATTCGTGTATATAAGGTCAATTTTCCAAACTAATTCTATAACTTAAATCAATCTGTTTGTTTGTTTGAAGTTAAGTACATAGCTACACAATGGGCTATCAGTGCTCTACCCGCCACGGGTATCGAAACCCGGTTTCTAGCGTTGTAAGTCCGCAGACATACCGCTGTGCCACTAGTGGGGCTTCAAACAGTCGCGAAAGTGGACGATATCACCTTATGAAGTTTGTATTTTTGAGCAGTTTTATTATATAGCTTGAGATTCGGTGTCCCCAGGTGGGACAGCGACAAGTCTACGATCTTACAACGGTAAAATCCGGGGTTCGATTCCCCGTGGTGGACATCGTGGATAGCCCAGTCTGGCTTTGCTCTGAAATTAACTCATATAGTTAAGATTCGATTTTTGTAACTAAACGTCCAAATATAGAATCATGACAAAAAAGTTAACTATTATAAGATGTTTTAGTGTTAAAGAACAATATCAGAACTTTGGACATTTCGATAAAAAAAACACAATAGTTTCATAACAAAAATAATAACGTAATTTTAGTATGTGTTATCAATGGCTTTAATAACTCATCGTATACTAAGTAAGTCGTGCTTTTGTATAATTGTTTTTGAACTGCCAGATTTTGTAAACATACTTTTGTAATTCTTGGTTGTCAAAGTAGGTAGATTTACCCAGTTTTCGAACATACCTTAAAAGTTTTAAAAGATGTCATTATTATTTCTAATTGTTTAAATATGAGCATGATAGTTTTACATATTGTTTAGACATGGGCATGATAGTTTTACATATTGTTTAGACATGGGCATGATGGTTTTACATATTGTTTAAATTTGGGCATAATAGTTTTACGTGTCATATTGTCTTGGAGCTAAAACCAAAAGGGAATTTTCAGTTTGGTGATAGTTAAAACTGCACTTCATTTTCTCTGAATAGTTAATTAGTTGTAGGTGTGATCAGTTCTGTGTTGGTTTGTTTTCAGGTTATGACAAGTTGTGAGGTGATACGTTCTGTGTTGGTTTGTTTTCTGGGTATTACCAGTTGTGAGGTGATCAGTTTTGTGTTGATTTCTTTTCTGGTTATGACAAGTTGTGAGGTGATACGTTCTGTGTTGGTTTGTTTTCTGGGTATGACCAGTTGTGAGGTGATCAGTTTTGTGTTTATTTCTTTTCAGGTTATTACAAGTTATGAGGTGATCAGTTTTGTGTTGGTTTCTTTTCAGGTTATTACAAGTTATGAGGTGATAAGTTCTGTGTTGGTTTCTTTTCAGGTTATGACAAGTTGTGAGGTGATCAGTTCTGTGTTGGTTTGTTTTCTGGGTATGATCAGTTGTGAGGTGATCAATTTTGTGTTTGTTTCTTTTCAGGTTATTACAAGTTATGAGGTAATCAGTTCTGTGTTGGTTTCTTTTCAGGGTATTACCTGTTGTGAGATGATCAGTTCTGTGTTGGTTTGTTTTCAGGGTATGACCAGTTGTAAGGCGATCAGTTCTGTGTTGGTTTGTTTTCAGGGTATGACCTGTTGTGAGGTGATCATTTCAGTGTTGGTTTGTTTTCAGGGTATGACCTGT